GGGTGGTGTGAGGGTGCAGGTAGCAGATGGTGTGAGGGTGTGGGCTGCAGGTAGTGTCAGGGTACGGGGTACAGGTGGTGTGAGGATGCAGGGTGCGGGGGTGCAGGTGGTGTGAGCATGCCGGTATTAGGTGGTGTGAGTGTGCAGGGTGCGGGTGTTCTCTGCTGCTGGCCTCTGTGTTCTCAGGGACAGGAAGCAAGGCTATCAGCTGAGAGAGGATGGGATGGGGGGAGGTGGCGGCGGTTTGCCTGGGAGAGTCAGGCGCGAATGGAAGGGGGAGGAGGTGGGGTTCTGGGTGGCCCTAGGACTAGCTTGAGGTCAGTGGTAGATCTGAAGTGAGGCTAGCCGTCGTGGTTGCGAGTTTTCTGCAGCCACGTGCAGCTGCTCAAGTGCTGGGCCAGGCCTGCTGGGGGGAGCACTGCATCTAAACGTGTTAAACAGTACGATGAAGCGGCGAGGGGATTGGGTGTAGTGTAAAGAGCGACTTTAATGGAGGTACAAAGAGAAGCGAGGGTGCGGGGTGGGCAGGAGGGGCAGTGAGAAGGAGTTAGGGTTCATGAGCTGTGCTTCCCAGAAGGTCTGAAAATGAGGGCGCTGGACAGACAGGCTGTGGGGGTGGGTGAGCGGGACACCGGGATTGAGATTGGTAAGGACAAGGTCTAGGGTGTGACCTTGGGAGAGGACAGTTGCAAAACCGCTGGGGAAGAGGAGGTCAAGGAACAGGATGCTGGAAAGGTCACCCGGCTGTGGCAATCACAGTTACCAGCGGTGCTGGAGGGGCCTGCAGTGATCCAGGAGCCACACGTTTTAAGGAGTGAGGGGTTTGTAGGGGACAGAAACAGGAGTGGTCGTGGGTGGCATAGTTTTAGGGTGTAGGCTCTGAAACTAGAATGTCACAGGGGGAGGGAGGATGAAGGAGCCTTGAGAGCAAGCAGGGCCCCTGTTTCTGCCCAGACCTAGACCTGGTGTGTGATTACACGTTGCAGCTACACCGGAGAGGACAGCAAGGGAAGCGTGACCTCGGGGAGGGTGGAGGTCAGGTAGAGCCAGACTCACTGGTTGGGGACAGATAGAGTGGAGCAGGGAAGGAGCGCCAGGTGCTTGGTGTCCCCTCCGCCCCCTTTCTCTCCCAGGTGTCCCACTGAAGCCATTGTGTCAGTCCTGTGCCGAGAGGCCAGTGCACAAATCTTACCTAACCCTCACCTAGCTCTGGGACACGGGCATTTTTGCCATCAGCCCCGATGTACAGACGGGGAAGCTGACGCTCAGAGACCAAGGGCCTGCTGCGCAGGAGGGATGGCTCCAAGCCAGGGGCTTTGCACGGCCCCCAGTGCCTGTCGCCTGGAAGCTGCGGCCTTCCTGCTTCCTTGGGTAGCCCTGGGACCTGTGGTGCACAGAGTGGGCCGGGGAGGGCCACCCTCCCTGAGGCAGCTGCGCTGGGCCTCCGAGTCCTGACTCCCCAGTGTCGAGATGCCCGGATGGTCGGGTTCCCAGTTTTCCTTTTCCCTCTGTAAAGCACGTGTCCTTGACTCCTGCAAGGCCGCTAAGGAGATCTGAGATGAGCTTTGGTGTAGGCGGGGGTTGCAGCCACCTGAAAGGGTATGAACTATGTTGCGGGAACAAGGCTAGGTGCATTTTCTGGGGAGAAGGTCTAAAAGGGGGCTCTGTGACCCTAAGAAGTTTGGGACGCCCTGCCCCAAATCATTTCTGTGGTCTCCCAAACATTCCTGAGAGGTGCCCCCTGAGTCCCGGTTTCCTCCTCCTGGTCTGTGGGGTGAGATCTGAGGAGGAGCTGAGTGGGGGGTCTGTGCGGGGCTGGAGGGGGCCTCCCCCGCCCAGCTGAGGGGTGAATGATGGCTCTTGACTTTCTCTTGCAGGTTTCCAAGCCCCAGGTCCCCTCAAGTCCAGGCCCTGCCTCAGAAAATGGAGGCTCTGCCAGCCCAGGCCTCCCCGCTGAAGCCTCAGGCCCAGGCCCCGGCTCTGTCTGTCTTCACTCGCCCGATGAGAGCTCTGCCTGCCACTCTCAGCTTCCCGGAGCCCAGAGTCCTACAGTTTCCAAGGCTTCTCCCTGCCTGCCTGTGACTCCAGCGTCCCCAAGTGCAGCCCTGCCTGATGAGGGCCCCTGTCGTACCCCTAGCCTGGGGCTCCCTGCTGAGGGAGCCTCGGAGGCCCCCAGACCCAGCAGCCCTCCCCTTGAGGAGGTCTCGGAGCCCCACAGCCCGGAGCAGCCCCCAGCCTCCTCGCCCCGGCCCCTGCTCGAGGGGGATGAGTTGCTGGGTCTCGCTCGGACGTTTCCATCTGGGGAGGAGGAGGCATCTGCGGGTGACGCAGCCTTCCTCCGCCCCGGCAGCCTGGCTCAGCGCCGGTTCTCTGAGGGAGTGCTCCGGCCACCCGGCCAGGACCAGGAGAAGCTGGGGGGCTCTCTGGCTGCCCTGCCCCAAACTCAGGGGAGCCAGTCGGGCTTGGATCGTCCCTTTGGGACAGAGTCTAACTGGAGCTTGTCACAGTCTTTCGAATGGACCTTTCCCACGCGGCCCTCCGGTCTGGGCGTGTGGCGGCTGGACTCCCCACCCCCCTCCCCCATCACCGAGGCCAGTGAGGCAGCTGAGGCTGCTGAGTCTGGCAACTGGGCCATGTCCAGCAGGGAGGAAGGCGTGTCCCAGCAGGGGCAAGGGACCAGGTCAGCTCCAGGGGGGCCAGGAAGGCCTAGCTCCTGGGTGCAGGAGGATGATTCAGACATCTCCCCAGCCCAGAAGGGCGATGGGGAGAGTCAGCCTCAATCCCCAGCTGTTCCCCTTGAGGCCTTCCCTACACCGGGGGGTGCACCTGCATCGCCCTTGCTGCAGGCAGAGGAGAGGTGCGAGGATCGGGAGCCTTTGGCTGGAGAGGAGTCCCCCCTCCCTCTGGCCACCAGGGAGGCAGCCCTGCCCATCCTGGAGCCGGTCCTGGGGCAGCAGCAGCCAGCACCCCCTGACCAGCCCTGTGTCCTCTTTGCTGACACCCCTGGCCCTGGGCAGGCACTGCCTGTTGAGGAGGAGGCTGTGACCCTAGCCTGGGCTGAGACCACCGAACCCAAGACAGAAGCTCAAGACTCCTATAGGACGTCTCCCGAGCCTGCAGGCCCGGAAAGCAGCTCTCACTGGCTAGATGACCTCCTGGCTTCGCCACCGCCCAGCGCTGGCAGCGCAAGGCGGGGAGCTGGATCTGAGCTGAAGGACGCACAGTCCCCTGGTGCCTGCTCCGAGGTGAGGATGGGCATGGGTTGGGGGTGGGGGTGGCTCTGAGGGTGGAGGCCAGGGCTTGGGTGGGCTTCATTCTTTCAACACGGGTTCTGTGTGTCAAGAGCTTGGGATACAGCGGTGAGCAAGGCAGCTGGGAGGGACCTGCTCCTCGTAGCTCTCGGGTCTGGCAGAGCTCGCAGAGCCGCACAGGGTGGCACGTAGAGCTTAACGCGAGTTACTCTCCTGACTCCGGCATTCACTGGCTGATTGGTCTTGGGAATGTACCTTTACTGCTAAGCTGCAGAGTTCTTTCATCATAATAGCATTAACCTCTCAGAGTTGTGTTACGGGTAAGCGAGATGTGGAAAGCCCACGGTGCGATGCATGGCGCGTGCTCAGTCTTCACTCTGTGATCACGGGAATATCGTTCAAGGCAAAACAGCGTAGCCATTTGGAGCGTGGGCTCTGGAGCCAGACTGCCTGGGTTCATCGCCTGGCTCTGCTGTTTCTTTGCCCAGATACGACCTTGAGCAGGCTACTTTTCCACCCTCTGCCTCAGTTTTTGCATCTTATGGATGTGGATAACAACGGCAAGTTATCAGAGGGCGACAGCAAGGATTAAATGAGTTATAACATGTGTAAAGTGCTAAGAATAGCGCTTGCCTCATTGTGAGTGCTTAATAAGCGTTGGCTTTTACAAACGTTATTACCACTGAGCTCAAGACCTGCTTTGCAGACAGGCAGCTGAGGCCCAGAGGAGGCAGAGCCTTGAGCAGTTCCCCAGCAAGTTGGTGGCTGGGTCTGGGCCAGGACCAGTTCCCGGCCCAGTGCCCTTTCTCCTACCAGGCTGCCTCTGAATGCAAGGGCTGGGGGCCAGGTGGCTTTTGAAATTTATTTTTCAAGCCTGGCCTGGGCCCGTCGGGTTGGGGCTGGAGAGGAGGAGGAGCCAGGGGGCCCTAGGGGAAGGGGCAGAGGTGGAGGAGCAGGAAGGGTTAAGGCCAAGATGACTCCTGCAGTAGGTGTGTCTGTCCCGGGATGTGGGTGACTCAACTGGCTCCTGGGCGGGGCTGCCAGAGCTGCAGCTGCTCCGGAGGGAGCAGGGCCAGGGTGAGAGCCAGAGCCAGAGCCGTCGGACAGGTCCCAGCCCTGTCCCTGGGCCCAGCCTGGCCGCACCCTGCAGCCCTGGGGCGGGCAGGGGCGCGGGGAACGGGCAGGGGGCGGGGAACGGGAAGCCATGGCCCGGCCTGGGGACGGGGAGGCCAGCATGTCTGTCCTAGAGCGGCTGCTGGCCAACGCGGCGCTGCGGGATGAGGCCGGCAGGCTCCGAAGCCCTGAGCCCAGGGCTCTCCCGCCCTCGGGGGTGAGTCAGGGAGAGTGAGGGGGGTGGAGCACAAGAAGCCCTGGCTGGGATTTTCCCCTGTGCCAGAGGCTGCCTCTCCTGCCTTCCTGGGGCTGAGGTGAGGGCTGAGGTGAGAGCTGAGAGGCCTTCCTGGGGAGGGCTAGCCAGGGGCCCCTTCCTTAGGGAAGAAGGGCAGGCTGGAAGGGGTCTGCTTGGTGTTGGAATTTTGCCTTGCAAGGCAGGTTGCCGAGGGGCTTTGAGTCTTGACCTCTCCTGATTGAAAGTGGCCTCCTCTCCCTCCTAGTTCCTACGTGAAGACCTCTCCTCCAGGCAGGGCTTCTCTGGCTGTCAGCCAAGTATTGCCCAAGGGTTGTAAACATGACCATGGGATCATGGATGCAGTGCCCATTGTGTGTCAGGCACTATGCTGGGTGCTTGGTCATGCCCGCCCCACACAGTAGGAGTTATCCTCATTTAAAATTGAGGGCCCTGAGGCCCAGAGTGATCAAGTGATTTGCTCAAGGTCACACAGCCTTCTGTTGCCAAAGTGGGGCTGTCAGGCACTAGGCAGGGTTGACTTCCATCCCTATCGACTCAGCATTGTTTCTTTGTCTGTCTCTATTCTTTTTCTGATTCCCAGGGACTCCTTGGCTGGGCCCAGAAGGATCTGCAGAGTGAATTTGGGATCACAGCAGACCCACATCCCAGTGGTTTCAGTCCTTCCAGCTGGTGCCAAGGTGCTACTCAGGACTATGGCCTTGGGGGCACAAGCCCTAGAGGAGACCCAGGCCTTGGAGAGAGGGGCTGGGCCAGCAAGTATGGGCAAGGAGTGGGGGAAGGGAGCACCAGGGAGTGGGCCAGCAGGTGTGGCATCGGCCAGGAGGAGGTTGAGGTCAGCAGTGGCCAAGACCAGAGTGAAGCGTCTGCCCCTGGGGGGCTCCCGGCCCAGGACCGGGTTGTTGGAAAGCCAGCCCACGTTGGCACTCAGCGGAGCCAGGAGGTAGACGCCCAGGACTGGGAGTTCAGAAGGAGGGATTCCCAGGGCACTTACTCCAGCCGGGATGCAGAACTCCAGGACCAGGAATTCGGGAAGAGAGACTCGCTGGGTACTTACAGCAGTCCAGATGCAAGCCTTCGGGACTGGAAATTTGGGAAAAGAGATTCTCTGGATGCTTACTCCGGCCAGGATGACGATGAGCAGGGCCGGGAATCGGGGAAGAAGGACCACGTGGGCAGGTTCAGCAGCCAGGATGCCGAGGAGCAGGGCCGGGAGTTTGAGAAGAGAGATTCTTCACTGAGCGCCTACGGCAGCCGGGATGCAGACGCCCAGGACCAGGAGTTTGGGAAGAGTGCTTGGATGAGGGACTACAGCAGCGGTGGCAGCTCCAGGACCGTCGGCACCCAGGACAGAGGCTTCGGAATGAGGGCCCTGAGCTCTGGGTTCAGCCCCGAGGAAGCCCAGCAGCAGGATGAGGAATTTGAGAAGAAGACTGAGAGTGGGGAAGACAGCCCTGGCGAGGCTGGTGGGGATGCAGGCCGGCCGGAAGAGAGAGAATCGGGGGGCTTGTTCAGTTCCAGCACCACCCCGTTGCGGGAGGGGGCACTTGGACACAGAGACCAGAGCACCTGGCAAGCCAGCGACGCCTTCCACGAGGTGGGAGGGCTGCAGGAGAGACAGCAGGCAGGGGCTCAGAGCCCTGGCAATGCTGACCTGGAAGATGGAGATATGGGGAAGCGAGGCTGGGCTGCTGAGTTCACCCTCGGTGTTGCCCCCCAGCCAGAGGTGGCATTTAGCCCACGGCAGCAAGACTGGAGTGGGGACATCTGCGTCGAGGCCCCCGAGAGGAGCTATCAGTTTGGCATCATTGGCAACGACAGAGTGAGTGGTGCTGGCCTGAGCCCTTCCTGCGAGGTGGGAGGTGGTCACTTTGTGCCTCCTGGGAAGACCACGGCCGGGCCCATGGACTGGACTGATCAGCTGGGTCTCAGGAACTTGGAAGTGTCCGGCTGTGTGGGTTCTGGGAGCTCAAGTGACACCAGGGAGAATGCCTTGGGACAGATGGGCTGGTCAGACAACCTGGGCTTGGGAGACGTGGACCTGGCTAGCCGTTTGGAAAGTGGAAGGTCCGAAGAGCCCAGGGGGATCGGAGCTGGGGAGAAGGACTGGACTTCTGATGTTGGGGTGAGGAGGAGAGATTTGGCTACGGCGGGGGAGGTGGGCCACAGTCCGGCCAGAGGGAGTGGCGTGGGGCAGACCGACTGGTCAGGGGTGGAGGCCCAAGAGTTCCTTTCATCAAGGGAGCGTGGAGTCGGACAGGCAGACTGGACCCCTGACCTGGGGCTAAGAAACATGGCCCCGGGGGTAGGCTGCAGCCTCGGAGAGCCCAGAGAGCTGGGGGTGGGCCAGATGGAGTGGGGCGACAACCTGGGCCTGAGGAATTTGGAGGTGCCCTGTGACCTGGAGTCTGGAGGTTCCCGGGAGCTGCGGGGATGTGGAGTGGGGCAGATGGACTGGGCCCAGGACTTGGGGCCCCGGAACGTGGAGCTTTTTGGGGCCCCGAGTGAAGCCAGGGAGCGTGGGGTGGGAGAGGTCAGCCAGTGCCCAGAGCTTGGCCTTGGGAACAGCAGCGGCTTGTCCCCTGGCCTGGAGGCCAGAGACCCCATGGTGGCCAGGGAGCTGGGGGTCGGCGAAACGAGTGAGCCAGAGACCCAGGGCAAGGACAGCTCCTTGCCTTAATTGGAGACTCACCCTGAAGACCCCAGAATGGAGACAGGAGAAGGCCCCAGCTTTGGAGCCAGGTAAGGAAACCCCATCCTGGTGTGGGAGGGAAAGTGTGACAGCTGTCCGAAAATTGGAGCCTTTGATGGGGGAAGAAACAGTTTTTCTCACGAACTTTTAGTGTTTGGAAAATTGAGACATTTTGGACTATGAATTTTTATTTCTACTTAAAAAAAATGATATGACACACATACAGGTGAGTTCCTTTTTCGAAGGATGACTGTAATGTTTAAGGTGTTATTCTTTCGTAACCTATGTTTTGGGCTTTATTGGCGATTTTGGATTGTGACAGTGCAGGGGGAAGTGGTACTTGTCACAGCTTGGATAGTTCCTGGTGGTTTCTATTCTTACACACAGTGGCCATTCCCAGGCCTCAGCCCTGAGCCACAGGTGGGGCCGTGGAACACGAGTGTTTTCATTGGTGAAGGAAGGAGGATTCTGTGTCTTCTTGGCCGGTACCACTGCAGCTGGGAGTGCTACACTGATTGGTTCTCAAAAAGGTCTCCTGGGAACTTGATGCTTCTCGCCTGCCCTGTCATAGAGCCTGGAAGAGCAAGTTTAAGAACCTGAAGGGTGTTGGGACCTGGCTTCTGGCCCCCTGACCTTGGCCTCTGTGCGCAAAGTTGCTGAAAGAGAACTTTCCAAAGGAATAGGCTGGTAGTTTTACAGGCCAACCACAGTCTGTCTCATGGGTGTTTTACAACCAACTGAGATGATTTTGCATCTGGGAAGGGTGCTAAAAAGACATTGCATCTATTTCGTTAACATTTCCGTCCATCGAGATTTTATTCTCTTAAGAGAGTAGAACATTTTACCTTTTCCAGCCTTCGAATGAGAGCTTCTCATGGAGCAGGGAGCAGGGAAGGGGGATGTTGGCCGGGGACTGTTCTAAGTGGAAGGGGCTGGCAGTAGTGGGAGGAGAGAAGGAGGGACTAGGAAGGGGCTAGAGAGGCTTATTGGGGTTTTGGGGTGGGGGGTTCAGGAGAGACATTTGGGATGGAGGAGGAGGAGGAGGGAGAGAGGAAGGTGGCAAGCATGGGCCCAGGGGGGTTGAGGAGGGGGTGCTTTCTGGAGACTCAGCTGTCAAGCGGGGAGCTGGGGGAGGCTGCGATGAAGTCTGCAGGGAAGGGCGTGCACAGGACTAGGAGTTGGGAGGCTCCGTGAGCTTGAGCGAGTTGCTGGACTCTCTGAGCCTGTTTCTAACAGTTCGACTCGGGAAGCCCGGGATTCCAGCTCTAACGTTCCTGGTGCAGGCTCGGCGCGGTGGCTCCTGATTTCTCTTCCCGGGACTCGCACAACTCTGCGTGCCCCGCGCTCGGCGCGCGTCTTACCTCATTGATCTTCACAGCTGCGCTGGGAAGCAGGAAAGGGGTTTTTATCCTCTCTGTTGGCAGGTCAAGAGGTGGTGTGACCTGCTCAAGGTGACAGAGTCAGCAATACCCCTTTCCAGCTTGCTTCTGTTGACTGCTTTCAGCGGTGGCCACTGGGTTCAGGACTCAGACTAGCACGGAGGGGGACCCCCAGCTCTCCGCTTTTCCCTTCTGAGGGAAGCAGAGAAGCACTCAGTTGTCTGAGGTTGGTCCCGTCATGCCTTCGACACGCCCAGGTTTTTCTGCGCATGTTACCATAATCTGGCCCCTGCTGGCCCCTTACCTTCAGGGTTTAGCCGGGGTGGAAGGTGAGCCTCGTGGCGTGCAACAGAAAATGTGCTTCCAAAGCTGAAAGGAAACTGTTGCCTTAGAGGTGTTTGTTTGAATTTTATGCTTTTGGGTAGCCTTTTCCAAAATGTGTCCTCAAGAATACCAGTCCCTGGATGTGTCTGGACGATGCCGTGGCCGTGCAGGAGACTTAGCGTGTCTGTCAGCGTGCGTTAGTTCGCGCCCTAAACATGCACGGTGCAGCGTTTCCCAGACTTGCTTGACTAAGGTCCACGGAGCTAAGCGTCTGATGCAGGGAAATTCTACGCTATGGAAAGTTGCTCTTTAAAAGGTGAAAGATTTATACGATTTGAAGAGAAACCAGAGTATAGCAAGTTGCTCTTTAAAGAAAATTTTGGAGGTTCCCTTTGTAACAAGAAGTCCTGGAGAGTAACTCAGAGTGATCTGACTTTGGGTCCTTCTGCCAGGTTATGGCTTTGATTCTGTCACCATCTTTGTGACCTTGGACAAGTTGCTTCTCAGGGCCTCCAATTCCTCATCTGTAAATTGGGAGTAATTTATACGCAGTACTCATGAAGTTTTTGTGAGGACCGAGTTAATTAGTTCTCACAAAACTGGGGAAACTGAGGCACAGAGAGGCAGTGTGACTTGCTCAAGTTCCCACCACTGGTGATCATGGGTTCTTCATGTCCCCTTGGGCCCCAGCCTTGTGGTCCTGTCCGTGTGCCCTCCCTGTCTCTGTGGCATCGAGGCCAGCTGCTTTTCCTCTGGACACATCGTTCCGCTGGAACACTGGGGAGCTGACTGTTTGCACATAGATGTAGCCCCCACATTTGTCCCTGGAGTAGTGGCGGAGTGTGAGTTTGGGTAGAGACACGGCTAAAGTCTAGGCCGGGTGAAGGGTATAGGCAGTGTAAGGTGAGACACGTCCTCCCAGGCCAGGGGCCCGCGTTGTGAGTGACGATGATTAGCTTACTAGTTTGTTATATTTATCAAGTGCTTACTATGTGCTAGGCACATATTTCTGCCAACAAACACAACAAAATTTAGGTACTTTTATTAACCCCATTTTACAGATGAAGAAACTGAGCCTCAGAGTGGGCAAGTAACTTGTGGGTAAGGCATGGGCGCAGTAGGGGACATAGGCAAGCTCTGTCCTGGAGTGGCAGGGCTTGGCACCCACGTTCCTAACCACTCCTCTCTCCGGCTCCCCTGCCAGGAAGGCCTCTGTCTGTGGGTGTCCGGGGTGAAGGGCCAGTGGGGTTTACGCAGTCTGGCGGGGTTGACGTACATTGTACTTTCCAGGGCTCTCCCCACTCTCCCCTCCTCAAGGCCATCCCCAGAGCCCACTGAGCTCCCTCCTCTGACCTCTGCCTGCGTGGCTTGGGGCCAGCTCTTGCTCTGGGGGTGGATGTTGCCAGCTACCCATTGGGTGTTTCACATCCCCTTAGCTCGAGGGGCCTGCCCCACCCCAGGGCGAGGCTCTGGGCACGGCCTCCGCAGGCTGGGTGGGGTGCCGTCGCCGCCCCCTCCCTCCTGGGCCTCCCTGATTTTAAGCTGGCCGTCAGGGTGAGCTGGCTCTGGCCCCCGTCCAAGCTGTTCCGATTCTGCTGCCTTGCTGTGCTTCTGCCGCCACCACCGCCGCCGCCTCTGCACCCTCCCTCCTTCCCAGGCCGCTTTAATATCCATCTGTCAGCAGCTTGTGGAAGGACAGACTGACACATGTTCTCTCTCTCTGCCCCCTCTTCCTGCTTGGTATTGCCTCACCTGCCTCGGTCTCTGTCCCCTCCAGTCCTGGCAGGAACCAGCTACCTGGCTTCCGGGCACTCTGCGTGGTGTGTGTGTGGGGTGCGTGCGTGTGTCGGGTGTGGCTCAGGGCTGTGCTGGCAGGTGTGGTGGGTGCAAGGTGTGTCTCGAGGGAGTGACAGGCGAACAGTGCACATGCTTCCTGCCTGAGTGTGTGTGATGAGTGTGTGAGTGTGTGTCTGTATTTCAGGGAGTGGCAGCCGTCGGTGTGTGAGGTGTGAATTAGTGAGTGTGTGTGGTGCGCTGGTGTCGTGTTTAGAGGGGGCAGCAGGCAGGAGATGCAGAAGTTGCACCGAGGTCCAAGGTGACCCGCCCTCTCGCTCACTCTGCAAATGTTTGCTTATCCGGCTCCTGACCAGGCTCTGGGCCAGCTGCTGGGGGCACAAAGGCAAGAGGACCCTGTCTTTGCCCTTGAGGAGCTCACAGACGGGTGGTGGGGGCAAAGAATTGCCGAACAGAAGCAGGGGCTGGCACACGTAGGAGCTGAGGTGGCCACGGTGGCTGGGGAGGGGACAGGGCAGCATCAGCAGGGGAATTGAACTGAGAGCAAAGGACATGAAGGGACGGCGGGGGAGCTTTTCAGGCGCGGCAGCGGCTTGTTCAACAACAGCAGTATATGAGGGTTGAAGGTGACATGAGCCTGGACAGGCAGAGGGCCAGTCCTGGCTCATACTGCAGAACGTGACCGCCCAGGCAGGTGCCCCCGGGAGGGCACACACCGACAGCATCAGCAATGATGACGGCAGCCGTAATGATAGCTGTTACTTACGGGGCACGTACTGAGTGCCAGGCACCGTGCTGAGTGCTTTAGATTCTTGTTTCGTCTCCCCAGCGACTCCAAGCAGAGGAGCCCGAGGCGTCTATGGGGGAAGGGACTCATCCAAGGTCTCAGGGACTTGAACCCGCCAGGCCAGCCAGCTCTTACCCTGTGTGCTGTAACTCAAGGTCTTGGCCACGTCCTTGCTGAGGAGTCTGGGGACAGCATGGAAAGGAGGGAGAGGGAGAGGCTGGGGGAAGGGGAATGCCACAAAGTGGGCTTTGGGGGAGGGAGACAGGGCCTCACGGGTGACCTTGTCCTCCGGTCTGTCCATTTGCAGCCCTGGTGGGTGCCCAGCCCGCTCCCCGCCCTCTGGCTCCCAGGGCCTGCTGGAGGAGATGCTGGCCGCCAGCAGCTCCCGGACAGTGGCCCATAGGGAGTCGGTGACCTCGGGCCTCAGGGTCCAGTTGGAGGAGGAAGGAGCCTCAGCAGGTGCTGACCAAGGGGCGCCTCTGGAGCCTGGCAGGGACCCTCTGCCCTCCTGGAGGCCTCAGCCTGATGGCGAAGCCAGCCGGACAGAAGATGTGGACAGCACCTGGGGTCCTTCAGGGGCAGGGAGGGGTGAGCAGGGGCCGGCCTGGACCCCTCGGCGCCCCTCCCAAGGCCCTCTCCCCAGCACCCCCAGTCAGGACTTCTCCTTCATTGAGGTCAGTGGGTGGTCAGCCCAGGGCAGTGGGTGGGCTGTCGTGGGGGGAATGTGGGCAGTGGGGTCAGAACCCCATTCCTGGAGCCTCCCTGGTGGTCTCTATCCAGGAGGCAGAAAGAGGGCTTCAGGCATGTCACGTAAACAGGAGCAGGGAGGGATCAGCTCGTGGCCAGCTGCTGTTGCGGGGCTCCTGTGGGGTGGGGCAGGGCTGTGGGGCGGCAATGGCAGTGGTGTCACCCTTGTCCCGAGCAGGACACTGAGATCCTCGACAGTGCCATGTATCGGAGCCGTGCCAACCTGGGGCGCAAGCGTGGGCACCGAGCCCCTGCCATCCGGCCTGGAGGTACCCTGGGCCTGTCGGAGGCAGCAGACTCGGACGCACGCCTGTTCCAGGACTCCACGGGTAGGGCCGATGTATTATTTGATGGTGTCTCTGTCGATGTCTGGGGAGTTGGCCCGGGTTGTGCAGAGGCTGGGGCAGGTGATCTGGGTGTGCTGAGCCCTCTCCCTGGGCCTTTGCAGAGCCACGGGCTTCTCGGGTGCCGTCTTCGGACGAAGAGGTAGCGGAGGAGCCTCAGAGCCGCCGGACGCGGATGTCCTTGGGTACCAAGGGCCTGAAAGTCAACCTCTTTCCTGGCCTGAGCCCGTCCGCCCTGAAGGTACCATCTGATCACTCAGCAAGCACATCCAGCCCCCCTGGCATCCAGCCTTTCCTCTCTCCGTCTGTCTACTCACTTCCCCAATCCCCCTCTCCCATTACTTCTCCCCAGTGAGGGCCCCAGAAGATCCCTTTGTGCCCTGCTGGCCCTTGTGCTGTGGGCCAGGCAGGATGGAAGGAAGAAGAAGACGTGTTCTTGTCCTAGAACCTCGGGGCGGTGGGTGGGGGGACATGAGCCATGCCCAGAATTAGCTCGGGTGAGGAAAGAAGTGTAGGTGTCACTGGGGAGGCAGGGATAAGGGCTGGGCCTATTCCGAGAGGGAGAAGTCATTTCCTCATGCGGGTGGTGGGCACGGGAGGGGGCACGGGCAAGGCTCTTGTAGGCCTTTGATCTTAGCCTTGAGGCAGGCATAGGAGTTGGCTGTGGGGAGGTGTGGCAGACAGAGGGAGCAGGGGTGGGCAGTCCGCACTGCCTTTGTCCAGCCCAGTTTGTCTGAATTCAATCCAGCAGTATCTTTTCGAGGACCTACTGTGTGCACAGCTTGGCTCAGCTCTGAGGGAAGCGCATTTTTAAGTGACTCCACGTGCATTGGGGTGTCTGTCTGATTCTGGGGACTGCACACTCTTTGGAGAAGGCCTGGCCCTCTGTGGATCCTTCTCCCTGTCCCCTAACATCTGTCTGCATCTGGTCTTGTCTCCCAGGCCAAGCTGCGCCCCCGGAACCGCTCAGCTGAGGAGGGGGAGCCAGTGGAGAGCAAGTCCAGCCAGAAAGAGTCCGCAGTCCAGCGCTCCAAGTCCTGCAAGGTCCCGGGGCTGGGGAAGCCGCTCACGTTACCTCCCAAGCCAGAGAAGTCCTCAGGGTAGGTGCCTGGAGCTCTGGGCATTGCCTGACCCCACTATATTAGCCCGAAAGGGGAAGCCCCCACTTGGAAACCTGAGGCTCAGAGGCGAGGTCGACATAGTGAGCTATGTTAATTGGTGGCAAGAATTGCGGTCCCTGCAGCCTTCGGTTGGAGGGGGGTTTCTGTCCCTACCACGCCTCCTCATTTTGTTCAGTTTCCCCAAAGTTCACCTTCTGGACTTTGCCCTTTGCCCTCTAGGTCAGAGGGATCGTCACCCAGTTGGCTGCAGGCCCTGAAGCTGAAGAAGAAGAAGGTCTGAGAAGTCACTGAGGTGAGGGCAGGTTCCTGGGCTTGGGCGTGAGTGGGGCTTGCCCTGGAGAACTCGGGAGGCCCGTGCCCCTTTGGCCCTTACCTCCCCATCCCCCTCTCTACGCGGGGCTGGACACAGGCAGGTGAAGCCAAGCTCCAGAGAGTCGGTAGGGTCCTTGGCTCCCCCTAGATTTTGTCCACAGCGCAGGGCGTTGTCTGGCGGGGATGGAAGAGGAGGAGGAGGGCTGTCATTCCAGTCTGCCTCCCTGGGCTCAGGGACGGACAGTCCCCCGTGCCCTGTGTCTAGCCCAGGTATGGTCAGCTAGCCTGTGTGGTCTGGGACCCCTGGGGACACCCACCAGGCTCCAGGTCCCAGGAGGGACCTTTGTCATGCCTGAGCTCAGCTGTGGGAGCCGGGAGGGGCGTGGGGGAGAGGAAGCTGGAGCCTCCACAGTGTCCTCTCCTGACCTCTTTTCCTCCCTCCCCACTGCAGGGCCTCTCCCATCTGGCAGTCTCAGGCAGTGCCTGTTCCTGCGGGGTCCCCGGGCGAGGAGACGGCTGGAGCCCCACCAGCCCCAGGCTGCAGCCTCTGTCCCCCTCCACCTCTGAGGAGCGTCTGGGGAGGCACATTTATGCACTTTGTATCACCTCCCCACACCCCCACCCCTGCACCTTCCCTCCCAGCCTTGATTCCGTCACTAGTGGTCGAAGGTTTTGGTCCCTCTCCCTCTCTGCTTTCTCCTCCAGCCTCCCTTGGGTTTTCTTTTGATACCAATTTATAGCATTTTTTATAAAAAGCCTTTGATTTTTGTAATGGGCAGAGCTCTACCTGTGCCCCAGCCCAGGTCTCCCTCTGCCCCGCCAGGTGCCCCACAGAGACCAATGATGTTTTGCCACTTGAAACAATAAATAAAGTTTTTTGGGAATTGGTGCTGTCCACGTTGTCAGGTGTGGTCATGGCTGCCAATTCCCCTCGTCTAAGGCTGTAGCTGGAAAATGCTGGTTCTAGCTCTGCCTCACTTGGAGCGTGCTCTGACATTGGGCATGTCATAACCCTTCTATGTACTGGGCTCAGTGTCCCTGAGGAGGGTGTATTGGTTGTAATAGGCTGGTTGCTAATTCAGATGCTGCGCTCCCACCCCTAAATCTCAGTAGCTTAACACAGCAAGGTTTATGTCTCACCCGTGGCACAGTCCAGGGTGGGTTGGTGGTGGGGAGCACTCTGTACCTCAAAGTCTTTTGAAGCCCAGGCTCTTTCCCTGTTGTGGCTCAGCCATCCTCTGGGGCCCTGACTCCTCCGCAGCGTCTAGTGGGAAGAGGGGGAAGTCCTGTGGGAGAGTAAGTCCATTCAAGCTGCTAATACAAAATGCCATAGACTCTGTGGCTCGGAAACAGCAGAAATATATTTCTCACAGTTCTGGAGGCTAGGAAGTCTAAGGTCAAGGCACTGGCAGGTTCGGTGTCTGGTGCGGACCTGTTTTCTGGTTCACAGATGGTGCTTTCTCACTGTGGCCTCACATGGTGGCAAGGGAGCTCTCTGGGGCCTTTTATAAGGGCACTAATCCCATTCACGTGGGCTCCAACCTTATGACCCAATCCCCTCCCAAAAGGCCCCACCTCCTAATACCATCACCTTGGTGGTTAGGATTTCAACATAGGAATTTTGGGGAGATGCAAACATTCAGACCACAGCAGAGACCCACATTCCACTGGGCAGAAGTCACCTCATGGCCCCGGCTAACTGGGGGGGAGTGGGAAATGCAGTTTAGCTGTGTGGCCAGGGAGGACTGGGTATTGGTGGAAATTTACCCTTCTTGCCAGAGGGTTGGTTCCTTTGATATCTAAGGGTCCTTTCAGCCCAGGCATTCTGGAATGTCCCTCAGGCTCTGTCCTTCCCCACCTGATCCCCTGGCTGTTGGCATCCTCTTGTCCCTCATCCTGATTCTCTGTCTTCCTGGTTTCCCCAGACTTGCCACCCTTTCAGGGCCGGCATTGTCTTTCCTTGGGGCTTCAGAACAGGAGAGGGTCCTGTGACCTTGCCTTGACGGGGGTCTGAGTGGGGTCTCTGAGCTATGGCAGATCAGAGATACAGCTGAACTGAGACACCATGTCGTTTACCAGTGCTGCTTAGCCTTTTTTTTCCTTTAAGGGGTATGGAGACTATCGACCGAATTTGAGAATTTGACCAAAGCTGTGTACACAATTTACAAACCAGCCCAAATCCCTATCACCGACTTTCTGGAGCAGGGGTTCTGAGACTGCACCGTGTATCACAATTTCCTGGGGTGCCTATTGAAAATGCACATTCCTGGGTCTACCTCCAGGACTCCAATCCAGGAGGTGTGCCCAGGAATCTGCATTGTGGGAAGCCCCTGACGTGGAGGGTAAAGAAAGGATGTGGGCCGCACGGGGGTGCCTGGCTGTACCCCTGGGTGGGTCCGTGCCAGTCCTTCCCGGGCCAGCAGAGCTGAGCTGGCATGAGCTTTGTCCCATTCTCTCCCACCCCCTCCTCCCCACAGGAGGAGGCCTGGCAGAAGCCCAGGCCAAACACTTAAGACCCATTAGAGGAACAAATTGAGCCTGGGCCGATCCCAGCACTGGGCTCTGCTGGGAGGAGACGAGGCAGGGGCCCCACTTCTGGGGAAGGCAGAGCCGGGTCCTGAGTGTGGGTAGGGTGTCCCACTCTCTCCCACCGTCGGGCAGTGGCACAGTCAGGGAGAGAGGAAGACAGCACATACAGGCTTTGACCGTGGAGGCAGGTGTCTGACAGATGCCATAAGTGGGAAGGTGATGTCATTCATGTCATGCAGCCCTTTCTCAGGGGTTCTTGGGAGTGGCCTCAGAGGGGCAGGTCTTGGTCTTTTGGAGCTGAATTTGGATTTTGGAAACAGCTGAAGGTCACTTGGATGCCCCTGTTGGGGAATACTTTGGACAATCAAGCAGGCTGATCAATTCCGGTCAAAGGTGGCTCCGATTTATGAAGGGAGTCAGCTCTGGAGGAGTCACTAGAATAAGTGGGGACCACTTTGAAGGCATCAGCTCAATGTGTTTATAAAAAAATCAAACCGTTTTCTACCTGTTAGGAAGCTGAGCTGTTCCTCCCTGGGGTGCTTGTTACGACTCTGAGAGAGAGAATCTGGTGCCAATCCCATTACAGTTGGAAATGTCCCAACACTGTCTCTCCCCTGGTCCCGCTTGAGGTCCTCGCCGAGGGGAGGGACCATCCATGTATGAATTGGACACCAGGATGCCTTTGGGAACTGACTCGTAGTGGAGGCGGCGGGGGCGGGGGCAGTCCTAGGGGGTCTCCCATGTTCCCCGTGAGCCAGGCTGGTGTTTGGGCCTGAGAACAAACTGGCCTTCGTCCTTTGCCCAGCCCTCGGTATTGGGGTGGCGGTGGTGGTGTGTCATGGGGTGCCCTTTGAAGGGTGCTGCCACCCACCATTTGGCTCTGCCTTCCTCCAGCGCCCTGTCTTCCAAATGTGGTCCAGCCATCTGCCGTGGTCACAGCCTGTCCCCGAGAAAGTGAGACGGGTGCCCTTCTCGTGGGCAGCTCTGGAGGAGGAGTGAGCAGATCAGAGTTTATAACCTGCTCTGACCCTTGTGAGCGGGGGATCCTCTCTGAGCCTCAGCTTTAAGAGAGGTGCAGAAATAGAGAATCCGCCTTACGGGACTGTTCCAGGTCAGGATGTTCGAGACAATGGTGAACCGAGTGCCTGGGACAAAGTGTGAGTTCCTTGCTGGTCTTGTCTTTTCCTTTGTTCGCGTGGTGGGAGCTGAGGACCATTCGCAGCCCTCCTGCCTCCTGGGCTGATGACCCAGAGCAGCTGGTGCTTGGCCTGGAAGCTGGTGGATGAGATTTTCCTGGGGCTGATTTGCCTCCGGGGCCTCTCTGAGCCAGCAGGGTAGGCTCACCTGGGACAGCCCTTTGGCCGCTGCAGCAGCTGCCCTGGCTCCCCCGCTCTCTCCTGCCAGCAAGCGCCCATCACAGACAGGAAAAATGCTGGCAGGGTTCATAAACACAACCACCCTCCCCTGGGGCGAGTGCCAGGCCCTGGTGGCCAGAGCTGCCTGGGCGCAGAGTGATAAAGTGGGTTTTAATCGCTGCCCAAGGAACAACTCTAATTATACTTTTATTTATATAGCACTCTGTCTCCAAAGGGCCCAGCATCCATTCATATTTTCTTAAAGTAACGTGTATTGAATTTTTTTCCAATGACAAAAGCAAAGCATATTCATCGTGGACCACTTAAAAAACACAGACCCAGCTACTCGGTAGGCTGAGTGGGGAGGATCGCTTGAGGCCGGGAGTTCGAGGCTGCTGTGTGCAGTGATCATGTCTGTCGATAGCCGCTGCACTTGGAATAGACCCCATCTGTAAAAAAAAATGTCTAAAAAAGCAGACAAAACAAAAGGAGTTGCCTGTAACCTCACAAAATATACTAGTAACATTTTTAAAAAGAATACTCTTTCTTAGAATAGATTTAGATTTACAGAAAAGTTGACACGATAGAGTTCTCCTATACCCCACCCCAGTTTCCCCTAAATATCTTACATTAATATGATATGTTCGTTGCAACTGATGAAGCGATATTGACACAGTATTGTTGACTCAGGTCCGTACT